TTAGCGAGGAAAATGAAGCAGTAATCAAAAGTCTCCACCAATGAAAAGCCCATGGAAGTAGATGATTTCACTATAGAATCTATCAAACATTTAAAGAAAAATTAATACCAATCCTCCTTAAACTCTTTCAAAGAACTGAAGAAGAGGAAATTGCTCCAAATTTCATCTTATGAGACCAGCCTTACTCTAATATCAAAACCAAAGACTTGACAAGAAAACTAAAGACTAACACCTTTGATGAATATTGATGAAAGACTCCTCAACAATATATCAGCAAACCAACAGTACATTGAAAGGACTGCATAGCATGACAACTCAGATGTGTGTTTGGAATGAAGAATGGTTCAATGTGTAAAAATCAAGGGGCGAATATACCACATTAACAGAATAAAAGATAAAAACTGGATGATCATCTTGGTTGATGCAGAAGAAGCATTTGACAAATTTAATACCCTGTCATGATAAAAACTGTCAATGAACCAGAAGCACATTACTTCAACATAATGAAAGTCATGTATAAGAAATCTACAGCTATGGGCTGGGGCTGTAGCTCAGTGGGAGAGCACCTGCTTTGCATATGTAAGGCCCTGGGTTCAGTCCTAAGCACCACATAGAAATGAATAAATAAAGATATTGTTTCCATCTACAACTAAATAAATATTTAAAAAAGAAAAAGTTACAGCTGATATCACACTCAATGGTGAAAGACAGAAAGCTTTTCCTCTAATATTAAGGAAGAAGGCAAGAATGCTCACGCTTGCCATTGTTATTATTCAATATAGCACTAGAATCAGACAAGAAATAAAAGGCATCCAAACTGGAGAGGAAAGTGCTCACAGATGACAAGATCTTACATATAGAGACACCTGAAGATTCCACAAAAAAACTGCTAAAACGAATAAATGACTTCAGAACATTGCAGCACACAAAACTGACACACAAAAATCAGGTTTATGTCTATGCAATAACAATGCCCAACTGGAAAAGGAAATTAAAAAAACAATCCAATTTACCATAGCAGCAAAAAGATAGACTACTTAGAAGTAAACTTGCCTTATCCCCAGTCCCACAAAAAAAAAAAAAAAAAATAGAAGTAACTTGCCCTAAGAGATACCCATGAACACTGAAAACTCAAGACACTTTAAAAGACATAAATAAATGGAAAAAAATCCCATGCTCGTGGATTGAAAGACTCCATACTGTTCAAATGTCCACACTCTTCAATCCAAACCACAGATTCAGTGCAATTCCTATGAAAGTCTCAATGGACTTTTCAAAAAAAATTTTAAACAGATACAACATTTTTTATACCTTTATTTTATTTATTCATTTTTATGTGGTGCCGAGGATCGGACCCAGGGCCTCACACACGCCAGGCGCTCTACCACTGAGCTACAACCACAGCTGCCGCAGTCTGGCTGGGCACAAAATAACTGGGAGGTCACGAGCCACTTATAGGTTCAAACAGGAACTACTTTATTGCCAGAACCCAACAGGAACTCTCTAGAACTCCATGGAAACTCCGCGAGAACCAACGGGAACTCCGCGAGAACTCAAAAGTAGCGGGCACCCGGGCACCCGAGGTAGCAGGAGCCGCCTTATTGCTGGATAGCAGAGGTTTATATACACAACTGAATACACAGCTTGTTTCAATTTAGCATCATCCAGTTACAGCAATCAGTCATTATCTTAATAATTATACACAGCTTAACTTAATTATCAACATCTTAATGGCTCGCTGGCATTACTTCTCAACCACTCCTTCTGGCAAAATGCCAGGCGCCATCTTGACTTGGTTGTGGCTCTTAACACACAGCCCCTCAATGGAATTTTTTGCACAAATAGAAAAACTACCCTAACATTCATAAGAATTCTCAAGGGAGTTCAAATAACCAAACAATCTTGGGGAAAAAGATAATAAAGTTGGAGGTCTCTCATTTTCTGATTTTAAAACATACTAAAAAGCAGTGGTAATCAAGAAATACAGTACCGGCAATACAGTCAGCTATAGAGACTGATGGCCCAGAACAGAGAACCCAGAAAGAACCCTGGCATCTACAGCCAAGTGGTTTTTGTCCAGGATGTCAAGACTACACGGTGAGGGAAGAGGCACCTCTCCCACAGATGGTGCTGGGGGAGCTGCAGACACACAAGCAAAGGCGTGGAGCTCAATCCCGACTTACACCCAAACAAACAAACGAAAGCTCACTCAACATGGATTAAAGACCTAAACATAACCTGGAAAGCTGCAGAGCTTCCTGTTGTGAAGCATTATCTACACGTAGGGGAGAGGCTTCAGGTCACTGGATTGGGTGGGGATTTCTTGGATATGGCACCAAAAAGTACAGGCAACAGAAGCAAAAATAACCTGCATGGCAGGTTATGATGTGCATGTACCTAAAAATTTCTGCATGTTGAAGGAAATGATCAACAGAATGAAGAAGCCATTCAGGGAATGAGAAAAAACTTGGAAATCACATATCCAGTAAGTGGCCAATAACCAGAAAACATAAGGACGTCTACAACTCAAAGATAACAACAGCAAAATGACCTAACCTAAATGTGGGCCAAGGTCTTGGATAGACACTCCTCCAGGGAAGACCCCAGATGGCCCACATGCATATGAAAAGGTGCTTTTGCATCACCAACCACAGAAGGCAGATCCAAACTACCAGGAACTACCAGCCACGTCCATGTGGATGGCACGATCAGAACAGAAAATAAAAAGCATAGATGAGGATCAGGGAACTCGGGAGTCCTTGTGGGAATGTAAAATGCTGTTCTAATTATGGAAAATAGTGTGGAGGACACTAAAAAACTAAAGGTAGAATGACTGTGTGATCCAGCCATCCACCCCTGCGCGTACACCCAAGAGAACTGAATGCAGGGTCTCAAAGGCACACCCATGGTCACAGAGCATTATAGACAAAGTGTGGAAGCAACCCAGCATCCATCAACAGAATGGATAAAAAAGCGCATAACACACATCCAATGGAATATTACCCAGCCTTAAAAATGAAACTACTCACGTGCTATGACATGGACGAATCTTGAGGACATTATGCCACGCAAAATAAATAGGCTAGTCACAAAAGGACCAGCAACTCCACTCACTTGGGACAAAGCAGGGGGTAGCCACCAAGGGCTGTTCGGAGGGGAGCGGGGACAGCTGTTAAGGAATGCAGAGTGTCAGTCTTACAATATGGAAGCGCTCTAGAGATGTCTTGCGCCCAGTAGGAATATGCGCAGCGCTGCCAAACTGCACTCTGAAGTCGAGACGGCAAATTCAATGCCACGTGTTTCTTACCATGGTGAAAAAGCCTACCAGATGGAAACCTGCATCTTAAAGAAGGAAGTCAATCTTGTTGATCTCACATCCAGATGAGTCAGTCCTACCCATGCTGCCAGTTAGAATCCAGGTCATTTTGTGTTGGTTACAAATAGAAGTTATTCAAACAAGTACTAAATAGATGTAAGACGAGGCCAACAGTTGCCTTTTAAAGGTCTGAAGATCACTGCAAAAACAATTTTCTTAAAATTCATGGAAACTAAATTCCTGAAACTCTATGTGATGAAACCCAGCAGAACCTGCAAGGCAAAGGACAGTCTTTATATAAACTCTGTGTCTTCAAAGATGCCAGACATTTGTTTAACGTGGCACCAGCTCAGCACCCATTCTGAAGCTTGACATAATTATTCGAAACCCAGTTGTACCTTGTCACCTTTGGCCCGGTAAAACATCCTCTCCATATCAGTGACGTGACCCACTCACTCTTCGTCTCAGACACCCAAAACCCAACCCATGGTCTACACTAGAACCCACAAGCCAGGTCTCCACTTGGTACAGGTAATTAAAGCACTGTCCACCACACTCCTGGAAAGCCTGGGGACATCCCGTGGCCCCTGCTGAAGGCATGGCCCACAGCCTGGCTGAGCACTGGGTGTCACCACAGGACACCTTCTTCCTTCAGGGGCCTGTGAATAATAAAGTGCTCTGGGCAGGTTGAGTCACCTGATGTGTCCCAGCCAACGACATGAACCCAACTTCTTCCCAGGGCAGGGCTCCCCCGAGAGTGGCCATCTTGGTCAGTATAAACTGGACATGGGTCAGACAAGAGCCACAGAGGCGTTTTCCAGTACAAACAAGTTTCCTGTGAGAGGGACACAGTTGGACACAGGCCTCAGGCCTCTGCCAAGACAAAGAAGTCTCGCATGAAAGGCTCCCTGCGAACATCCACGGCCAAACCCCCAGGGCCAAACCCCCAGGGCCGGGGCAGGAGAGCTCAGGGCCACTTTCTAGAGAGACCATGAGAGTCACCAGTGCATCAAAGGCAGCAGTTGTCTGTCCCTCCGAGCCCACAGGCACTGCAGGGCAGGCCACCAACCCCCAGCGCCAAGGCCATGGGTGTGCTAAGGGACCCGCCCAGTGTGACAAGCCCCGGGCCAGAGCTGCACAAGAGCTTCTTCAAGGTTTCCATAACGTGTGAGCACCCAGTACTCAATTCCCACAGCCTGCGAGTTTAGACTGGCTATAAACATTAACATTTTAATATGACAATTATGAAACAACAGAAAAGTTAAGAGAAACTACGATCTGGCAAATGACACCAATATCTAGAACTCTGCTGTTAGACACTAGTTAAAAGCAGGAGTCTATCTGAACTTTACAGATAGGAACTTAGAAGTTGCTATGGCAATCGGAATACTGCGGATTTGGGAATACTGCGGATTTGGGAACAACACAGTCACTTTTACCTACACTGTAATCCCATTTGCTTTTATAAAGAGACCCCAAAATGAAAACACAGAATGGCACCCTGTGGTTGTAGCCAGTGATTCACAGACAATTATATCTAAAACAAGAACACTACACTATACAGCTCCCGGAACGGCTGGACTTCAAGTTCTAACCCACACGAAAAACTGGGGACTGTCACATAAAAGGTCACATCTCTTCAAAATCTAAGAAGGGACTGCTTTAGAATTGAGCTAAGGCCTACCTTTTGGTTGCCGGCATAGGGGTTTCCTTCCTGGCCCCGGAGGGGGACGGCAGGGAGCCACTGGGTTTCTTTGGTAACACGGTGCCATTGTTGACGGTGGTTCTTAAAGGCAGGGTCTGCACCAGTGGTCTTGCTGTAAGACAAGCAGAAGAGGAATCAGAGTGTCCCCTGTAAGTGGTGCTGTACAGAACTTAAGCTCATATAGAAAGGAAGAGGACGCCCATGTTTGGAATCCTTGCAGAGCTGGGTGTGGTGGTGCCCGCCAAGACCCGGGGGGCTGGGGGTTCAGGTGGGAGGATGGCAAGCTCCAGGCCAGCCTGGGCAACTTAAGGAGACCCTGTCTTGAAATACAAAGTGAAGGGCTGGAGGTGGCTCGGTGGGAGAGTGCCCTGGGTTCAACCCCAGTCCTGGAAAATGAAAACAGCCAGAGAGTTGACGCAGGGAGGAAGGCGAGTCCTCCACCACGCGGTGCTCGTCAACCCGAAGGCCAGCTCACACCCCACACAGAAAGGAGCTCAGTGAAATGTGCACACGGGGCTGGGGCTGGGGCTCAGCAGTAGAGCGTTCGCCTAGCTCGAGCGAGGCCCTGGGTTCGATCCTCAGCACCACATAAAAATAAATAAAATAAAGGTATTGTGTCCACCTACAACTAAAAAGTAAATATTAAAAAAAAGTGCAAAACTCTGACTTTCTAGGTCTGGTGATGTGATTATAGATACATCACCCAAAGCACAATTCATGAAAGAAAAAAATGGACAGCATGAGCCTCATTGAAATTCTCTTAAATTCCTGAAAGACACTTAAGAGGATGAAAATACAAGTCATTGACTGGGAGAAAATAGTTGTGAATTACATACCTGATAAAGGACTCGCATAAAGAAAATAAAAGAAACTCTCAAAATTCAACAACAAGAAAATAAACAGCCCAGTGTAAAAAACAGGCAAAAGATCTGAAAAGACTTCTACCAAAGAAGATGTACAGATGGCAAATAAGCATATGAAAAGACACTCCCCATCACCTGTCATTAGGGAAATGCAAATTAAAACAATAATGAGATACCTCTACACACCTAGTAGAAGGGCTGAAATCCAGAACAGGTCAGACACCCTTGCTGGCCAGGACGCTGGGCCCCGGGACCCTCCTTCCTTGCTGGAGGGAAAGCAGTCGACACAGCCATTTTGGAAGACAGTCTGGCAGTTTATGAAGCTAAACATAGGCTTACCATATGATCCAGTGATTGTGCTGACACTAGGTATTTACCCAATCCATCTGAAAACTTATGTCTACACAAACCTGCATGTAAATATTTAGAGCAGCTTCATTTGTGACTGTCATAAACTGGAAGCAATCAAGATTCCCCTGGACAGGTAAACAGAGAAATAAAGTGCTCTCGTCACAGAGTGGACGTGACTTGGGATTTAAAAGGGACAAACCAAGGTACCAATAGCATGGCTGAGTGAGCCACGCTGGGAGTTTGTGTCGTTCCAGTCACATGACATTCTGGAAGGGCACGTTGGCCGAGGCTGGTGTGGGGTCAAGTAGGAGACGTTCTAGGTTATTCTGTGATGCTGTGGTGGTGGACATATGCACCACGCCTTGTGGAAACCCAGAGACCCACCAAGAGTGGAACTGGATGTAACCAAGTAAAATCCAACGTGGAGATGGGACCTGTGACGGAATGCAGATTGCAAACAAGAATCTACCTGCATTACGAAAACTTTTTTTTCCCCAGCACTGAGGATTGAGCCCAGGACCTCCTGGAGGCTAGGCAAGTGTTCTGCCACACCTCCAGCCACACCTCCAGCCCTGACCCTACTGCAGATGCATGCCACAACCCCGCTGAGCAGGGTGAGGGGAAGTGACCACCTGGAAACTCTGGAGGTCAGAAGAGACTGGAAGACAAAGACAGAGGAACTGCGCAGAGCACGGTGTGCTGGTGGTGACCAGCCCTGGGAGGCAGTGGTGATGGTAGAAGCAGGGTCTCTCACTGGTGGATGAGTGACAGATAGGCAAGGGGGAGATAAGGAGAGAAACACTCAGCGACAGAGAACTCCCAAACCCGGGACTGAGGGGGCAGGCCAAAGGGACACAGGAGCCAACTGAAAGTTCCCAGTGGCCAGAGCTGGAACAGAGCGCTAGATTGTAACCAAAGGGCAGTGTAGGTATTCATAGGCACAGACTGAAAAATAAATGACTGCACTCACCCCGCCCCCCAAAAATAGAATCAAATAAATAAATGGTTGCATGAATAAATAAACAGGGACACCCCCAGGCAGAATGACAATGTCCATGTTCTTGACTTTTTTTTTATAGGTACTCCCTCCAGAAGGCAGGGCTCAATTCCCACTCCTTCAGTGTGGGTGGCCCAGTGACTTCCTTCCAAACAGGACACAAGGTGGAGCAGGGAAAGCCTGACCCCTCACAAGGTGGTCAATATGGGCAGAGGTGAGTCACGCCCAGGGCCTGTACCCCGGCAGGAGATGGAAAGAGAGTGACACTCGCCATGGTCTTCCTGCCTGAAACCACAACCCGAGTCTAACCAGGAGTGTAGAAGGCGGCCCCCTACACTGAAGGCCAAGGAACCCCCTGACCAGAATTCCCCCAAACTGCCCAGTCATCAAAACAGGGGGCCCGTCAGTCTAGCAGGGCCTTGGGAGACAGATGACTAAGCAAAATGGTGTCCTGGATGGATGGGTTCCTGGGACACAGCAAGGGCAGGGGCAGTGAGGAATCTGACAGGGGATGGGCTTTCGTTAACACTGCACCAACGGCGGCCCCGGAGAATCGTGAGCAAGAAGGTCACTGGCACAGGGTCCAGGGGACTGCCTGCCCCTGCAACCCTTCGGTAAATATAAGCTATTCTAAAATTAAAGTTCATTTCAAAACACTAGCATGATTTATTTTGTTAATCACAAAATTAAATCTGCCTTAAATTTAGGGTCTTCAAATTACCCATGACAATTCCACACAAAATGCCAATTTTAAAATACCTTCTAGTGCTGAGGCAGAGGTACTCCCTTGTTATTTTAATGCAAATAAAGTGGAAAGCCAGTAAGCCAGTACCAGGGAGCGGCCCCCCTTCACTCCTGAACTGTCTGCCCGCCATGAGCCTGGCCCTCCCATCCAAGACCTCAGTCTCTCTCTCACATCTGCTCTCCTTCCTGCTGTCCGCCTCATCTCAGCCTCCTCTCTCGGCCCTACCCACCTTTCAGTCTCATCCATTCTTTAAGAATACACAGTGGCCGGAGTTATAGCTCAGCAGTAGAGCGCTTGCCTAGCACATGTGAGGCCCTGGGTTCGATCCTCAGCACCACATAAAAACAAATAAAGGTATTGTGTCCATCTACAATAAAAAATTATATATATATATAATTATATATATTATATATATATATATAATATATATATATATATATATATATATATATATATATATATATATAAAAGAATATACATACTGAGTTCCTAATTTGGATGCACCAAATTTGCATCCGCTGGAAACCTCAGAATATGGCTGTATTTGGAAACTGGGTCTTTACAGGTGTTATCAAGGTAGGGAGCCAGATGAAACCATTGGATTGGGTGGTCCCTAAACACAGTGAGAGTTCCCTCACAAGAAGGCCATGTGTGGACGCCCAGGGGAAGGCTGTGTGAAGAGGCAGGGACCAGCGTGATGTGTCTCCAGCTGAGGAGCACCGAAGACTTCAGGAGCCACCAGAAGCTAGTGGAGCCGTGGAGCAGCGCTCCCTTGGAGTACAGAAGGAACTACCTGCTGACACCTTGATTTGGGCCCAGAGAGTGAGTGGGCTTTGGTGGCACTGTCCTTTTTGTCCCCACTGTTGCTCTCTCTGAGTCTCCCCTCTCAGCCTTCCAGCACCAGCACATCTCCCGCCATCTGCTTCTGTCCAATCCAGTCTCCTTACAGCTCTGGGCAGAACACCCCAGCAACACTCCTGTCTGCCACGCAACTAGCACGAGCTTCATAAAAGAAGGTTTGATGCATAAAAAATTGCTAGTGAGTTTTAAATTAAAGAGGCAGACTCTCGTTTACCTTTATTCCCAGCTCCAGGACGGAGCTCCTAGCTCCCGCCTCCAGCCACCTAATGCGGTGGCGAGGTTTACAGAAGAGACTATCGAGAGAGGGAGCGCACGCCAGGGAGTGAGCTTTTATTGGGGAACAAAAAATTCAAGGGAAAAATCCCATCCAATGAAGGTTAAGGGGGGCAGCATCCCAAGGTCAGGGCCAGCTACTGGGTCTTCGGGGCAGTGGCATGGACAAGCCCTCGTACCTGGGACAGGGTGGGGAAGGCTCTGACACGGCTGTGTCTAAGCGCCTCTCACCCAGCCAGGGAGGTAACTCAAATCACGTGCGTGCGAGGATGGCCTCCCACACTCCTGGGCCCTGAGGAGCCTGCTGCTGCACCTGCTGCAGTTGGTCAGTCCAGGCAAATGCAACAGCTGGAACGACAGCAGTCCCCGAGCGCGTGGAGCTGGGTCAGCAGCGTGGAGCACACGGCGTCTCCTGATCAGCACTGAGGCCTGGCCTGACTCCCACTTTACAACCAGGTCTCAGGAGAAGGGAGGCTGGCTTGCCTCCCGAGGGCTGGGCTTACAGGTGTGCTCCACCACACCTGGCTGCTCGATCCTTCTTGAGGGATGGAGCTGAGAGCGGGCACGCGGAAGTGGCAGCTTATGAAGTGGCAGCTGATGTCCCGTGGCCACATCGGCATGGAGGAATGCTCCATTTTGGACACCAGGGTGCATCCTGAGTAGCATGAGTCATGGTGGAGGGACCTGAGGCGGCCCGGGGTGCTCCTGGGCACACCAGGAGAGCTGGAGGGAGACCCCAGTCACGCTCTTGTCCAGCGTCACTTCTGCACTGATGCCAGGCAAAGGGAGGCAGGTGGCAGAGCAGGGCAGGGACTCAGGTGTAAGGTCAGGAACCAGGGCGCTGGTGCCTGCTATGTCCCCCACTGGCAGTGTGACCACAGGTGAGGCCCGCTGGGCCCTGCTTTCCTTGCCTACAGGGGAAAGGCTTCCATCTAAATGTTGCTTAGGGAATTTCCTGCTCTGCAGTCCATGCCCCTTCACAGGTGAGAAGAGCCTCTGTCAAGTGACACCTGAGGCTTGCA